CATCCCTTTTTATTAGATTATTTCCAAGCACAAAAGGAAACTTGTTCTTATTAATCTAGAAATAACTTTAGAATTCTGGGGTATGTTGTCACAGTTAAAACTTTGGCAAAATACATTTAGCACACATAAGAAGAAAAGTTCTCTTTGATTTCAAATACTTTCTATCAATTTTTCCCCCTACACCAACAGTACAGCCTTGAACTAGCTTTACTTCACCCGCCTAAACACAGACAAAACTTTTTCTCTTTAATGAGAACTTAAAACAAATAATCCCAAATCCCAGTGGGCCTTGTTAAAGTCACCTCATAAAATTTTTACACTTGTGTATGACTTCGGAGAGGGAAAATGTTGACCCAGCAGTTTGAGCTCACACTGACTAATGTCGCCTTGGGGAAGAGATTGTCCAAATTCATGTGCCTCACTATTTGAAATGGATATAAAGCAGCCAATTATGATACATCATTGGAAACAGTAGCTAATGACAGATTATTTTCAGACATAATAATCTAGTTTCCAAGTAAACAAAATTATAAAGGCAGTCCAACTATCAGGAACCTTAGCTACTTTCCTAATGAAAACCACAATCAAATAAGTATCATGATTTTAGATTCTGGAGGGCACAAATCTATATTTCTCTTGTTTAGCCCAATGATTGATTGCAGGAAGCCAAAAAGTCCGTGGTTTCATTTAGGGACTGAACTATTAGAAACGGCAGGTGGGGGTAGTATTTCAATTCTCCCATCATACAAACCGTATTGCATATAAAATACTAACACTAAAGGAGACAGTCTCAGCACCAACACTGCCGCAGCATTCTGCACATTGTTTTGCACGGTTAAACTGCATGTGGAAGCTACAACTCCTGTACTGTGGCCACCATGAACATTCTATACTACTTTAGATCTCTGCTGGCCACCAGTTCATGTTACAGTTCAGTTCAAGGTCTTGGACTGGGGCTTGAAGCCCAAAGGGTCTAGAATTACGGCATCTGCTTTCTCTCCTCTGCTCATCTATTATGGTATCTGTGAAAGGTAATTTTCTAGCTGTTTTTCAGAAGGAAACAAGAGACTTTTTCAGTAGTAACATTCTAACCATGGAATCCTTTCCCAGGCATGGTCAGCTATCACTATATTTAAGGCACTAGACCTATTCAGTTTTATTCATTTAGGTTAATGGTGGAGAAGCTGCTGTTCTCCAGGTAGGATGATGATGATTAATCATTTATTTATTTGATTTATATTCTGCCTTTCTAATCAGAAGCACTATGACCACTGACTATTTCAGTTGAGGATAATGGGAGTAAGAAGCCAATAACTGTGAGAGTCCAATCACAGGTTCATTGCTCTTCCTTGAAGCTTCTAATGGGGTTTCTTGACCTTTTTAGCTATCGCTGTCCCACCCAATTATGGTTGTATGTTGTTCCTGCTGACTTGGTGGCATCATTTTTGTCTTAGTTACTGTTGTAGTATTATGAAATCACTTTTGTAAAAATTGAAATATACACCTTAGAAATGAATAATTTCCTCACATTTTTCATTTGTCTTCAAGATACCCCAGGGGTCAAGTTCCATTGCTAATCTTTAAAAACAGAAGAAAACAAATACAAATTTAGCTCAATGCCAGCATCCAACTGTGGTGATGGAGCTGGTTTGTCATGGATAAAACATCAGATAGTTAACTTTAATGGTTCTTGTGTACTTTGACAGCACATCTACTAGATGCATTTATTTCTATCTTTAGTCTGTCCTTGTTGGCACAACCCAGCTTTTCCATTGAAAATTAAACATTAGTGGATTTTATTATGTTTTTCTTATATGTTGTTGTTTTGCTATTGTATGCTACCTAGAGTCCTTTAGGACTGGGGTGGATTATAAGCACTGCCCATTACTTAATTAATTTCTGGCAGCTATATTCATCTCATTGATACTCAAAGAGAAATACTGTCTTGCATTTCCAATTAATGATGCAGGCCTATTTCTGACAACTTAAATGGGATTTGGACAAAAGTGAGTTGTGCTGCATTCTGTACTGCATGCAGATGAAAAATATCAGCTCAATAAGAGTAACTCTGTCTTTTGAATTCATAATGTTTTAGGAGATCAGTAAATGCTTTTGAACGGATTAAGAACTTGTTATTTGAAATCCTTCTCCATAATGTCTTTTCAAATTACAGAAGTGCTTAGTAATTGCTAGGAGATTTACAAACACCAAGAAAACAAAAAGCCCATGTTCCCTGCTTAATAAGCTCAGTTGATAAAAATGAGCACTAAAGAACATTTGTCATTACATTTGTGGTAGCAGTGTTGGAAAAATGAGTTTCTGGAAAGAACGTCATGACAGGATATGCAAAAACTGTGTAGTGAACGATTTACCTGACTAGGTCCCATTTCCTTCACTGTACAAATTCTTGTAGGGAATCTATAAACATCCTGGATGAAATTCAAAGTAAATTGTTTTGGGCTATTAGGCACATTTGGAACTATACAGAATTTGTTATGAGCACTCTCACAAAATGGATGCTGTGTAGTTTGTGGCCACTCACAACTCACTTACCAGAAGGCAAACTGGAAGATGGCTGTCTGCCCCCACCTTCCTATGTTGCTCTAACACCTCTGTTTAACTTATTTTTTCTGGCCAAGTGGACACGTTTTCAAACCAAGATTGGGCTGGAGTCAACCATCATTTTGATGTTCTAAAAAGCACTCAAGATACACAAGCATTCTTGGAAATAAAAATAATGCAGAAGGCAGTTTCCTATATAATTTAAAGTATCTAAAAATAAAGTCAGGACAGAAAGTGAGCCCACTGGTGTCTACAGTCACTAGGTTGCCTACCCTTCATATAATCATTGAAGTCAACTATATACTTACCCCTAATCTGGTATACACCAGATGTATTGAGAATACAGAACAGCTCTTTGGATCTTGAGTCAGGATTGTTGGGCCACATTAATTAGGAATTCTGGGGAAAGCTTGGATTTAGTCGTGCACAAATCTGTAATTGCTAATTTTCTTATAAAACTAGTCCATAAACCTTAGAAGTATTTTTCACAAGAGCCCAGTAACTCTGAAGACAAGTTCTTCTACAACTAATTCTTACATTATAAAGTCTGTGCCACTAAAACATATCCTAAGGTACATTTTACATAACAGACTTAGAACTATTTGAACAATCCTGTCTCCAGATAATCTCTCCTTTTCCCAGGAAAACATACCCAGCTTCTTCAACTACTTCTCACTGGATATTTTGTAGTTTATCATGCTAGCCCAGGAAGAGGCAACAAGGTCCCCTCCATATTTTTAGGACTGCAACTCTTATAATCTCAGACTGACCATGCTAGGTGGGGCTTTGAGGATCTGTAATTCAACACACCTTGTGGCCATAAGGTACCCTATTCTTGTTCTGGTCACTATAAACTCCCTGTTTTCAGCCCATGTCATAGTTTCTCAGATGAGCCCAGATGCCTTCTGGATTAGATTTCAAGCCCCTCAAGAAAATTCCTGTATGTTTGAGGTATGAAGATGACAAATAGTTGCTTGGCTGCATGTTCTAAGGAGCTCTAAAACATTTCTTAAAACCACAAGAATAGAAAAAAAGATTTTGCACAAATATGGATTGCAGAGGATGCATTTTAAAAAATTAAAAACAGTTATCTTTTTAAAAGCTATTGACAAGAGTGCAGCCAGCCATGAGCTGTTTCAAGATGTTCTCCATTGTAGGTTTGTTGTTTCCAGAGGAACAGAAATAATCTCTTGTTGAAGCTCAGAATTCAAATATATTAAATTAAGTGGAAAATTAAGCAGAGAAAATTAAAACCCAGCAAATCGATTCATGTCCCAGCAATATCAACACTTGCATTCATTCAAGGCTCCTAGGTCATACATGTTTATTTTAAAAAGCAATATATTAAAGAACTATGCTTAAGCATCCAAGAGTTAACCAAAATAGCCTGTTGTTAATAAATTGTAGTTTTTACACACAGTATACACACCCAACACAGAAAGGAATGTTTCCTTTTTATAATTGTTTGTGAAATTAGAGTGGCTGAATCTGGGACATAGTGGTTTTCTATAATGTCTCCAATCCTGAGGAATTATGTCCTTTTTAATAACAGGCTTGTCCCAATGCAATGATTTTCCAGAAATGTTTACACACTGAATTGTTCCGGAAGGGCTTTTGGTGGGTTACTGTTGCCTTGCTGGTGTTGTCTGATATTTAATTCTGTGGTTTTCTTTTATGCTATTATTTGTGATGTGTTCAGTGATGTTAATTATGATTTAATTGGGTTCTGGTATTATTGGTTGGTGTTTATTCTTACCATGGACATTTTAATTTTATGGTGTTAATGTTGTACAGATTTGTTATGCATGTTTTATTATTTATCTATTTGTGTTACACTGAGGATGTTTTAATGTTGTAAGTTGCCTTGAGTCTGAATGGAGTTGGCAGCATATATATATATATATATATATATGTGTGTGTGTGTGTGTGTGTGTGTGTGTGTGTGTATGCATGTGTGTGTGTGTATGTATATGCATATATACCCACACATATACATATACATACATACACACACATATATATACATACAACTTAGAACTTTCCTGAAGAGATTTGTGAAACCGATTTC